AAAGTAACTGTAAATTTCGTTACCGTTACCCAAAAAATGTAACTCGTTACCGTTACAGTTACCAAAAAAAGAAAGTAACGCAGTTACCAGTAAAGTTACCAAAAAAGTAACTTGTAACTGTAACTTCGTTACAAGTAACGAGTTACTTCCATTCCCTGATAATTATAGATAACGAAAGTAGTAATATATAAGTACGTACCGATCAAGATGAAATGTTAGAATGTATTACAGCAAAATTTAATTTAATTTACAAACTTTGAAGAATAATATCTAATTATTTATGAAAAAGTGTACAACTCAAAAAATACAATCGAAAGGCTATCGTCATCCTTATTTAATTATTTATGAAATTTGATGTCAATCTATATGAGTAATTATTGGCCAGTTGATAAATGTAACTAAATTAGGAAAATTTCCAATAAATGATAAATAATAGAAAATGTTTCCAACGGGTAATATTGCCACTGATGAAATTAACATTATGGATCGAAAAAACATAATAATTTAATAGAATATCACACTGAAATGTTATAGTATAGTATTAAAACGCAGCAGATTAACAATGTTATGCATGAGATACAAAAGCTCTATTTTTAACATAAAAGTCTCATCTCACGTGTCATCTCACCCTTAGGGTCCTTGACCCAATAGTTAATCGACATCGGCGACGCTTCGACGAAACATTCCAGAACCACGTCGGTCCCCAAGGGCGCGCCGACCAGCTGATTGGGTACCTGAATCACTGGCGGAACTGTAAATCGAAATCGGGAGATATTGTTGCATTTCCTGCCTCAGCAAGGCTTAGCTTCTACACAAGAAACACGATACATCCAATCTTATGGCTCGAACCGTAATCACTATTACTCACAATGAACGTTGATATAAATACGTTTGCTGACCGCGGGCGGAACCCCGTTGCTGGCGATACACAAATAAACTCCCATCTCGTTCCTCGAGATCTTCGTCAGCTTCAGTTCTTCGCCGAGAAATTCAGACTGATGAGCTACTGAGGACATTAAAATTGAATAAAACTGACGACTTTTGGTTCGATTGGTTGACGCGGATCGCTAGAGCGCCTCAAAATTTATGTCTTCGATGTAATATTTCTTTATTCTGATATGAAGTTGCCTTTTTCACGAAATGTATGTAAATTTGATCAATTAATACGATATACTGATTTATTTTACTAATTACGTCTATAGTTTAATTTACTTTAATAATTTAATATGAATATGATACATTAGTTACTTCCTATAAATCAGGTACGCATTTATGTTATAGAGTTCAATGCTATTATATTAAATGAATAATTATTAGTAAGTCAGTCAAGTGCGCGCGCGTATCCAATATAGAAAACAAAATAACTACTTATTAATTAATAAACATAAATATTATTAAATTGGTATACTTTTTAGAAAAAATTAGTTTGGATATAGAGATACAGAAAGAAAGAATATTTATATTATTAATTTTGTGTTAATATATATATTTTCAATCGATAAAAAATAGCTTAATAATAACTTTAATCAAAACTATTATTAAACTACTTTTATAATATAACTATATAAATAATAATAATTAGCACAAAATTGATAGTAAATATCCTTTCTTACTTTAGCCAAACTATTTTTTTTAGAAAATCTGTCAGTTTAATTATATATATCGTAATTAATTAGTAGAAACTTTAGCCGACAATCGGTGTCTTTGGCTATTGTTATTTAATGAAGGGTAACCACTACATGTAGACAGACGGAAAAAGAACACGAAGCGAACGACCTGTTACAAAAGCAGTGCTCGATAATCAATAAAACGACAAATGCGCTAATGATATTATTATATATTCGCGTTAATTATGCTTCTCCAATATTTTGTTGTAAAACATGTAACGTACGTTGTATTTTTGTTTGTGAATATTTCATATGCTGTATTTATAACACGAATTCTTAGTTAATATTTGCAAATCTATTTATCTCACATTTCTACGACTTTAAAAGTTCCAACAATTTGTAATTCGATCCAATAATTTTACGTTTAAGCGTGCATGCTCTGACATCGGTGTAAATTGATCGAAAGAAATATTTTTATTAAATAACCGCTCTTCACATATCGTCCATTCTAAATACGTTCATGAATGTATTCAGATGCAAACAACAAAGTGGCGCGCGCAGATAAGACGAGCGCAATTTGTTGCACATGCACCTGTTCCTTACCGCGAAATATAGTAAGCAAACGGACGGAACCCACCTCACCTGCGGCCTCGTTATGCTACATCAGCAGTTCAGCTCGCAAAAACATTGATTTTCCCGAAGGTCCTGGGACACACCCCGTGTGTTTTTCGCCCCGCGAATTAATTACGTGGAAACGGTGTAAATGTCGTTTTGCTTGCGCTTCGAACTTAATCGAAATACTATGAAGTACTCCACGAACGGCACGACTCCGCGTTTCCCCATTCAAATCTTAAAAGTAAAAGTTTATTCTTTGTCCGCGCTTGGAAATTAGTTCTTTGAAAATATTTTGGAACGGTAAGCAAGCATAAGAAAAATTTCTAAATATTTCTCGAGTTTGTACCGAGAGAATTAAAAAGTGAATATTCCGTTTGAAATAGACAGTTCTGAAAAGACGTGAAAGATTCATAATAACGATTTTTTATGAAATTCAGAAATGTAATTAACAGTAAAAAAATCTAAAAATTTTTTACTTATTAAGTAATGCAGCATTGGAAATTACTTTATAATTTTATAGTGTAGATATAATCCGTCCGTTTGCAAGATTTCTCAGAAATTACTTAACTTTTCCAAATTCTATTTTTAGCAATAGATATCTAAGAATCTTAATTTCTCATCAAGACAAAGTATGAGTCAAAATTTATCGTAATGAAGTCAAAGATCAACTCTCTAAATTCTTTGGAGTAAAATTTTACTCTCTTTTGGAGAGATTCACTTTAAAGAATTTAGAACAAAGGTTGATGATATTTTCAGTAATATAGGACACATCAAACGATTTACTTTTTTTTAATTTTGCCATATTTCGAGACATTTTTAAGAAGTTTTTTAAATAATCTTTCAAGTTAATTATAGGTTTTCTGCTGCATTACTTACAAATTTTTGAAACTATCCCTTATCAATTTAAAATTTGAATATGTTGTAGAGTATAAAAGAAGAAATATTAAATCTATATATTTTTAAATCTGCTTTTCTCAAGATTTAAGGAATAATTCCTCGAGAACAACAGATTTTCATTATTCTCAAACTGTAAGAAATATGAACAAATTTTGCACGCAAGTTTTGTGGTATTTGATGACTCATGATATATATATATTTTTCGAAAATGCCAAAGCTTTTTTAACTTACTGTCACTCCCAGGGTATTTCGATTAAATCTTGAAATAAATAGATACGAAAATATGGATCTAATTTTATCCAATTTACTTTTATCCAAATGATATTTTATTCAAAGCCCATTAAAGTCGGTGACAGTTCTGACAATACCTTAGTTAATTATATCCGTAAAGGATTTATTTCCAATGTTAATTAAATCTTGTGATAATCACGAGGCTAAAGCAAACTTTTCCGACAGGAGTCCGATAATCACTGCGATTGTGGTGTTGACAATAAGCCGCCGGAGCCAGGTCGTTCAGAGGTGCAGGTTCGCGCTCGGCATATGTTACACCAGTTGTCGCGGTGTGCACCCTTGGACCACGTTGACAGTACAGCGAAATTTGCCTGCTATTAGTATCACTTCGCTGAAGTGAATACTAAATACGTCGTTTAGCCGAGACTGACGAGACGGTCGAGGGCAAGGCAGGACGCTTTGCTCGGCTCACGAGTAGTGTTTTCCGACCAACGTTTATTCTACGGCCGTCTCTCAAGAGTCTTCGTCAAGGAACACGCATACCATAATCTCATATTGCCGAAAATTTCGATTTCCTCGACACGTACAATCATCTAAAATTCCTTTGATTTGTCTAATAATTATAGTTTAGAAAAAATTTAATATATCAAGCAACCCGACTTTACTGAAATCTGATTATTAATTACTAAGATATTTTATTTTAGTAAATAAAAAGAAATAATCGATTATAAGCTCTTCAAATGAATAACAAGGAAATTGTCTTTCATCAATTTTGGTGGGCTAAAGCGTAAAAATTAAAAATATGTTAGATTTTATTTACTTATCTCAAGATTTAGAGGAATCAAAATAATCCCGCAAAATAACAAATTTTTCCATTTTCAGTGAATATCTTCGAAACTATGAGGTATATAACAAATATTTTATACAAAAATTTTATGATATTTCGTACTTTTATTTATTTTTTCTCCGAAAATGGCGAAAATAAAGAAATCTATTATCTTCGAGAAGTTGGTGCGATCCTAAATTTTCAGATAAGCGGATAAAAAATATGGGTTTAATATTTCTTGCTGCTTTACAACATATCCAAAATTTATTAAAATCGATGAGGAACAGTTCTAACGACTCCCTTGTAAGAGCAACTTTCGACAAACTGTCATTTCGTATCTGAAATGAACGATTCTCCTATTTTAATACGAACATAAATTATGCGAGAATCCGAAAGAAGGTAAACGCGCGTGTCCTATAACTGCGGCTGGAATTCGACATTACGTTTAATGATCCGCGGAACGACGGTGGTCGGCCGTTTGGCAGAAGCCGCGGGACGAAGGCATCAGCTCGTAACGTCAGCGGAATCGGTTACCGGACGAAATTCATCTTAAAGTCCGGAACCGCATTTTGTAATGAGGGAATCTGAACACTAACGGGATGTGCGCGCCTAAGGAAAACATAATTGTATATTCCGCGCTATATCGGCGCGGCTCGGCGCGGCGCGCGCGGGTGTACCCATCTATATTAAATCTTACCGTGAGACTTCTGGTTCGGGGCGCTTCCTGCAAATGGCTCCCGAATTATAATGGGCTTGCCGTCTTCCCGACGCCAGGATACGCGCGGCTCGGGTACGCCTCTCGCCCGGCACGTTAACTTCACCTGTACGTGTTATGAAACCGGAATTATAAAGAGAAGCGAGTTCGTTATTGCACTCCACTAATGCCGTGCTTCATCCAAATATATTTTGGAGGAATAAAGGAGAAAGAGAGGGATACGCGCGCGCGCCTCCGTCTCTATGTAAAACACGTACGCGCGCGCAAGGACGCTTGTCTGGTACAATGGTGGTTCGTACGGATACTCGAGCGGAAAACGAATCTACGATCGCGAGAGGCATGAAATATCCGGTGGGATGCCGGACGATTTTTAACGGTTTTACCTGCTCCGCGAGGCCGATTCTATCGAACCTCTTCCAATTCTTGTTAACGGAGCTTCAATTTAGCGATATTTTCGCTTCCGGCCAGCTTTTAATAATCCAAACGATCCGTAGCTATTTTTCACCCAACGAGGTCAGACGCGATCAATCAAGTCGATTTTCATAATTTGTCGCTCTAACGTGTGTCTGCATTTGCAGCCATCAATTATGAATATCGGCCTGATTTTCATCGGTTACAATGTTATGGATACTCGAAATGAACGGCAGCGACGCGGGTTACGAGTTGCGAAACACGTACGCGAAATGAATATCTGTGTGTTCTACAATGGAAAATATAAACGGCATGTTGACAATTAACGACACGACACGTGTCGCAGCATACTACGCTGTTTGTTGGTTGCGTTCCACTGACATTGCTGTATGCTGGCTTGCAATATCTGTGACATTTTTGGATGAACATCGTGTTAGCACGATCCCAAAGTGCAACGTAAGTTATTGCATGTCATGAATTTGCGTAACTACCTTTAAAAAAAGCATAAAATAAGACGTGAGTCTTTTAAATTCTTCAAACAGCTTTTTCAGAGCTTGAAATTTATAGGTGTCTAAGGTTTATGTAATAACTATAATTACTGATAATCTATAAATTTCTAATTACACTTTGTAACAATTTTGAAAACATTTCCAGAAAATTGAAAAAACAACAGTTGAATAAAGTGAGCACAAACTTGTTAATATATGCGTATATGTAAAATATATTTATGTTGTAATAATCGTATTCGATCTGATAAAGTTTCAAATTTTGCTAATTTTATCGAGATGCAAATATAAACTTTACATAATCTATCAGTTTCAACCCAATTTTTGAAATTAAACATATCATTTTCCAAAAATAAACGAATGTATCGATTGCAAATACATACATATCGGAAGGATATATTTATAATTCGAAGCATACACTCTCGATAGAACATTAACCATTCTTTAGGAAGTATTACCTCGGGAGAGTTTGGAGAAGCTTACGTGAAGAGAGAATTTCACGTTTTTGTCTGGGAGTCCTATTAATTTTAAATCAAGATCGCAACTAGGCCGAGGATAGATATCCTAAAATGTCTGTTAAGCGGGATCCCCTACCATCGAAAATCAAGTTCGCAATAGGTCAAAAATTTAGTGCTTTTTAGGTGCTAATTTAGTACTCTATTGCCAATTTTAGTGCTTCACTCGTTTAGCGGGAATTAAAAAAAGGGGGGGATCAGCTTAACGGCAAGCTGGACCCTCCTATAATAGAAAATTAATATATGTGATATCTCTTATTGCTCGAGAACAAAATAAGTTAAAAAGTTGAAATCTCTTATATTGATATTTATTTAAGTGCAGTGTGAAAACGCGGTGGGACATTTTATGTGGAAATAAAATACGATAAACTGCGAAAAAAACTCCGCAAGTATATCATAGATCTTTTTGAATTCTTTTTCATTGTTTTACGACAGTTTGGCGAATGCACGAGTTAATAGCAACAGTTATGGTCTGAGAAAATTATTTATTTAACTCGATTAATTTGGTTTCCACTGTCAGAAAATGAATGGACACAAATCAGATTAAAATTTCAATTTTTTATTAACTTTATCTAACACGACAGATCAATGAAAGCTTCAGTTTTTTAATCGATCACTTTGAATTTACTGTTGGATATCATTTTTATTAAAGTTATTACATTAAGAATGTAATTTGAGATAGACATTATTCAATTTCTTAAAAACAAAATTACTTTACACGCTGAGATATTTTTTCCAATCGTTTATTAAATACTTTAAATACATTTACAGGATGACTATTTGGATCGTGTTGAGAGTATGTATGCAAAGTTTGATTAAAATTATAAAAAGTTTTATAAAATTAGTATTTGACACTGCGAGGTTTCCCTTGTAAGAGTACCTTCGTTTAAAACCTTTAGCTCTAAGAGAAACGTTTGGTACATTTAACTATTATTTTGTTATGTGACTAACAAAAAGTTCGTTATCTTTTCATTTGAAACAGTGTTGTTTGCAAAATTTGATTAGAATAATCAAACTTGTGATTAGAACAGCAAATTTAGTTGGAAGAAAAAAAAATTGTTCTAATCAAAATTTTGTTAGAATAATCATTAGAGCAACACAATTAAATAAAAAAGAAAGAAAGTTCATGTTAATCAAATAAATGATTACACATACCAAACATTTCTATCAGTATATATTTAGTATGAAATCTACGATATATTCTGTATAATCTTTGCTTCTATATATATTATAGAAGCACTTAATAAGATATATGCGTTGAGGCTGATATTATAAATTTATACAACGGCTCAAATAAAATTAATAAATCTCATATATCTGACCCTCATCTGAAAAATGACTTCAAACTGAAGAGGAAAGATATAACGGTTCACTTTCAGCATCCTTAATGGTCTATGTATTATATATGAAATATTTTAAAACAATCACTAATCAGTCCTTAATAACAGGAGTTCTTTAGTAAATTTGTCTTAATGAAAATGTCGGGGAAGATTTTCACTTACTGCAACTTTTTAATCTTTTGAATCATTTATTTTTGTGGCTACGCTTCGAATTAAAATTCTCTTAAAATAAACTCTACTTAAAGTTAAATTGAAGAATGTAGTTTTGTTATCTGTTTGACTTGAAGTTTAATACATGAAAAACCTTTCTTTTTCATTCTCTTATCTCGACATTTTTATTAAGCAGAAATTGATCTCTTAAATTGATTAAAAAAATCTATCATTAAAAATACATTCTATGATTTTAAGACACAATGTGTAAAAATATTTTCATGAATACAAACTAATAACTGCTATATGCTGATATGTCCATAAATGATATTTTATAAAAACGAGCGGAGAATTAAGTTTTGCCGTTCAGGAAAGCTGAAACTTTTGATTATGCAATTTCTAAGTATATATAAACGATATCCGTCAGACATATTACAGCACACAATTCTGTTATAACAAAAATAGTACGATGTGATACTTAGACATGTGTCCCGACAAGCTCGTCAAAAGAGATAGAAAGTAACTTATCAAACTGACAGTTGTACAATTTTCACTATACCAACTGCGGTAGCTTATAATAGGGGGACTCGCTATGCGCGGTATAATTTCAAAGTTTAAAATGGTCCATGATGGTAGCCGTCCTTCGCGGAGCCGTCGCGTCTTCGTAAAAGCATCCTGTCAGACGTTCCGAGGGAAGCGCAATATTCTTTAGCCGAGCGACACCGTCGGCCATGCGCGCGGAAAAACGCGAGGATGAGATGAGGTATTCGCACAAATTGCGCGACTGCCACGGAATATGAATTGTGAGCAACAGGTCACTTATTTTCTCTGATGGCTTACTTACAGCATCCGGCGCGAACGTCAAGACCGACCATAACACGCGTGTGCCAGATTACACTCTCACAATGACGCGTAAAAAATTGTCGGTTTAAATGAATTACTTGCGAGCGATTAGGCTGAAAATCTATTACAAGTCATATATATTGAAACGCACGATTATACTCCCTTTTCGTTGAAGACTAATAGATTTTCATCATCGAAACAGCGCGCCTTTTTCAGTTTGAAAATACGTGAGATAATAAAATTCAAATTAATGTTATTAATAATGAAAAGACATTTAATAATAATTGCGGGTTGGTTTTATGAATGTAATGTTGAAATAGCACTTGCAACAGGTGTTGCAAGTTGCAGTTACGAAATCGCTATGACATTATGAAATTCGTTGCAACACATTGTAATTAATTTTTATATTAATTGAAATGTCGACATATTATTATAAATACGATATCTAATTCATATACAGTTAGTACAGATGAAAGGCAACATGTTCAGAGTTGCTGATACTTTTAATTTGATATCAATATTTCGTCACAAACTTCTCGATAAATTTGATTTATTAATAATTTCGTAATTAAGGCGTTATTAATGACGATGAAGTTGCAGGTTATTTGTAGATTCAGACACAAGCCGTTGCGCACTCGTGGCGTACTGCCGTTTTCCGATATAGATTTCTCCGACATGAATCACGCGGAATATAACGTTGGTCTGATAATTTACTACACACGTAAATCAGCACATTTGTAAGCTATAAACCGTCGTTTATTCATGACGGCTTCTGTGTAGAGTAAATTATTTAACGACCCCCCTGACCTAGTCGCGCATCTTTCCTCTGGCATATTTATTCGCAAATTTATTTTCGCATGCAGATGGAATCGTCGGGATTGAGACGAAAATTAATTTCGATTGAAAGGAATTTAATCGTCGTATTCTACACGGAAAGAACGATTTTCCTGCAAGATTTAAAATTTTACTGGATACAGATTTAAAAATAGTTTTTTGTTGAATTACTAAAATAATTATATTGATAATTAAAAAATGATAAATATAATGCTACAAAAATTTTGATAGTGTACTAACCAGTTTCCAACAAAATTATTTTGGATAATCTAACAAAATTCTTAAAATCGTATAAAAAAAGCCGGCAATGTAAAAGAAATACTATTCATGTTTCATATATTACTAGAAAGGTTATAATTCTTAGATTGTTCACAATTAAAAGCTTTTTTAATCATTGAGAACCAAAATTATAGGTAATAGAATATAATTAAAAGAATATAAGAATTAATTAATCGAATATAATTAAAATAAAAAAAATATTTACCTGGCCGCCTTCACCCACCATCATATCACTTGACGTAGCTTCGGGGTCGAAATCGGGTGGCACAACAATAGACAGCATACCTGTCTGGAAGAAATAGATCAGCGTTAATATTTAAATAGCACGATTTAAGCTCAGTAAATAATAGCAAACTGAAGTTTGTCTTATTAATAGCATTATTTCATATGTATATTTTTATGTCTTTTCTAATATTAAATGTTGCGTCTAGAATTTGCATTTAAATTATACTTAATTATACGAATACATCATTTTTGTTATAAATTGAGCATATAATCCCGAATAACACAAATAAAACTGTCTATGCTGAATATTATACGATCTTTTTATGGTAAGTTTTTTACAACAAATTACAGCATATTTTAATTAACGCATATTCGAAATTTACGATAATGACAGGAGAGGAAACATGAGACGTATACGGTCAAGGCAGTAATTATATTTCTAACATAAAATATAGAATATTCCCTGCAAAATCGTAATACGGTCTTTGTTGCGAGAAGCATATTTTTTCCCATTATACAATAACATGACATCGCAAATGTGATTCATCCGATATGCGGCGTTGATAGCAACAAGCGAATCAGAACAATGACATATAGCTCGCTTTATTTCCCTTGTCGCGGCCCACAGTGCTTCTATGGAAATAGTATTGAGATAACCAATTTTTATTCGCGCCAGATAGACATGAAATAAAATTGCGAAATTAATGAGAACAAACGAATTTCTCAGACTCTCTCTCTCTCTCTTCTTAAGATTAATTAAATAACTACACTTGGGAAAAGCAATGTCACCAATTTGTTAGATACGATTCTGAACGTAACAAGCAATTCGCGGAGGCAGTTTATTCGTCGGTTTTTTCCTCCTTTCGTAAATTAAAGTAGACTACAAAGTACAGAGCCATAAGGCAGCGAATAACGCGAGCGTCCCTAAATCTCACAAGCATCTCGCTCTATATACTTTAGCTCGACGCCGGTAACATATTATGGCCGTGCAACCTGCTGCCGTTGCCAGTACGGATGCCGGTGTATGTCGTGGGTTTCGTTAATTAACGACACACGGTAGCGCCAAACATCATAACTAACAGTCGGCGCAATCATTATTGCCCTCCACGAAGCCTAACAATCATGCGTGTGAGTTATAGTCACACGTGAGTCACATGTTCGAATTTTTATATTAAATATAAGGAAGAAAATTCTTTTTGATATCGCGTATCATATATTTTGATTAATGATTTATTTATTATATAAACACGAAAATATAATTTTCTATCTAAATTACTCGCAGCGAAATCTCACTCCAAGAGAGTGAAAACACGGCTATTTTTTGGAGAAGAATAAAAATGTTTCACTTCATGAAAAAAAAGAGACAATTTTTCCGATTTATAATTTATTGTTTAGAAATATCCAGATTGATGCATTTAAAGTCTTCAAAGTGCCGGATGTACGGCATATTTTCTCGCACAGAGATGTAAAACAATCCGCCTCAACAAAGAGCTTCGCAGTAACTACGCATTTGACGCTTATCAACAACGCGGAGGCGCTATCGCGTTATAATTCCCGCGAGCGGATGGAAGACAGCAGAGCGCGCGGTAGAGAATCGAGGAGGTGGATCAACCCCCGAATGTCTGCGGGGACTTTCGTCGGTGGTCGTACGTCACCGCGAGACATCAGTACGAGTGCAAAGACCTCTTCCCCGTCACCCCTGTGCTCCGCCATATCCCCCGTACTTCCCACCAATTCTCGTTTCACTCCCTCGATTTAAAGGAAGTCCCACATCGCGCGCGCGATGCCGCTTTCTCCGTTCCTCGCGTAAGATGCAAGAGCGCGAGGTGTGCGCGCAATTACGAGGATGTAATCCACGCCACGACGAAACTTCAATCGTTATAACCGAGTTGTCTGGCAAGCCGCCGCTGCACCGTGCCGCTCGCGAGCGAGAAACAGTCCCGACGAATGCAAACTGCGTACCTACCACCTAACGCGACGACGACGATGACGAGGGCGGTGAGACACGTGCCCGAGCGCGTAAACTCGTACGTGTCGCCACTGAATTATGAAACTCCCTTCCTCTACATCCGCGCGCGCCCGTAAATTAATTATTATGCGCCTGCGAATGACTGTATCAATTCAAGCCGCGATTCGGTGTGAATGAATTCGTTTCATCGGTCGGTCAATCTGCTTTTAGAACCAATCGCGATGAAGCGATTCTGCGAAGTGATTCTTATCCACGACAGAGAAGCCCTATATTTTCTTCTCTCTCTACAAATTGTGTTATTCTAACACGTAGAAAATTTATTCGATACATAAACTCATAAATAAATTTTCATGCTTGCAATAATTATTATTGATACAGTTAAAACGGAAATATTTTAATACAATACAAGGAATAAAGATTACGCTGTTAAATTCGTAATGTCAAATTATACCCAATTTGAATTACTTTTAATCATCTATGTAGGTCGCCACTGCTCCTATTCGACATGTCATCAATTTGACTAAAACAATGAAGTTTAACAATTGAACTCAAGAACATGTATTATCAATTTAGTTTACTATTTACTAAGTACATTAATGTGGACGTTGTTTACTTTGAAACTAACTACAGAAATGGATTGATTTACACTTTGACACACATAGAGAAGTTAAAAATAAAATGTTATTTAATTCAAGAGATTGAGTTACCGTTTGCTCTTTTTATATTTGTCAACGTACGGAAATAAAATAAATAAGTAGAAAATTGATATTTTATGTATGACGTAAACATTATGAATAATGTACAGAATGATTTTGATTCACAAAATGCATCATATGGTAAACCCATTCGCAAAGAACACGTTCGTGGAAACTCATTATCGCTCGTTAGCCAGATTCGAACCGCAGGATCATTATTAACCCATATGTACGCGCACAGTTTCATTCAACATAATCAGGCTTGTAGTATAATTGAGAAACCACACATTGTTTAGTGATAGTTAGGTAGATAGAAGCAAATGAAGCGAGCAATTGTGTTCTTCTTAATGTTTGTAATTATTTGTTGTGCCGGAAAGTACAACAAAAAAGAATGCATCAATAAAAATATAAATACATCAATAAAAAAAAAAAAATAATCGCTGTGTGTTATAATTAATATCGTTCGATGCGACATTAAATTCACAAATGTACAATATTATGCTTAATAAAAGGTCGGTAATGAAAATTATGATTTATCTTAATTAAACATTTGCAGTGTGATAATATAATTATGTATATTGTTTAAAAATGATCACAGTTGTGCGTGTAACTGAAGTATTAGTTAATATAAACGTAATTAACTTTAACTAGAGCAGAATAAATATTAAACGGACAAAATCCATGATTTATTCCGAATCGTTACTATAGGGCAATAAAACATTCATGAGGGTCATACACATAGTATTTTCGTGAGGTTCTATTCAATTACCCGACTCTAAATCAGTGCGTTTCCGTCGCGTTGGAATTATGTAGATGGCTTTGAAGAAGTGACGCGAAATTTCAAGAAAGACGACACACATGCCGACTTGCAAGCCGACGCCTCTCCATACGTACACGTAAATTTTATCAGACACGCAGTCGGAATTATAAGCGACGCGCGAAGGATGCCGTCGTATTCGGCAACGAGCGAGGAAATATAGTTACGAGAGGCGAGACGGCATCCTTTGCGGAGGACGACGGTCGTGTTTTAACTGTTGATATATATATGCACGTAGAACGAAGAAGAAAGAGGAAAGAAACGATCTGAAATAGAGGCAAAGCTTTTATGGACGAAACATAATTGATTTACTTAAAAGGCAATTTATCTCTCGCCGATCATCAGCTAAACTTTAACGATCTGATGAATGTGCGAGAGAAAAATTTGACAAGATATTTATTTTAAAGAACATCTAGAAAAGACGATTATATATATATATATATATATATATATATATATATATATACTATAAAGTGATAAAACAAAAATATTCAATGTACGTAAAAAACATAATGAAATATATATAATTATAAAATATAATATATTTTTAATATATTTTCCACATCAATAATTTCTCGCGCATTTCACTTAGTTCCGTACGTCGACTTTCTTTCCGGATTTATCCGAGAAATGCCTTGGCAAAATTACTATAGCTTGACCGCTCGCGGCGAGCCATGTTCGTCTCATTGTCAGAAAGCAAAGAGAAACGTGAAGCAGGTAAAAACACGGCGCAATATGAGAAGAAACGAGATATTATTTACTGATAGATAAGAAGATAACAATAATCATACAATATAACCCAGCTAGGAGATAGATTCGTTTGTGGAGCAAAAACTGTTCAGTATATATCTTAATGCAAAATAATTTCACGCCGTTCCGCGAGAATGTACTTCCAAGAAATAAACTTTTTATTTGTATATGCTGCCTCTAGCCTCTTTTTCTCACGCTTACTTTTGATTTTACATTCATTCTCTTCGCGAGAAATCCTCGAACGATTGGCCGGAACATTCAACGGTGCCGCTCACAGAGCGTTCGTTATTTAGCTTAATGCCTCGTAAAGTAAGAACGACAAGAGAGATCGGAGAGCACAGGCACCTGCCGCCGTCTCACCAGCAGCCATCGCTATGTTACGCTCCGCGCACTATTTAAGATTACAGCCTTCTTCCTCGCGAAAAGAGGGAAACTCCCTGGCAGGGGCGGGGCTCGCACGAATTCAATCCAAAATGTCGGAAAATTAGATCTCGACTTCCAACGGCGGCGTCTCGTGCCGTATCACTTTGCCGGCAAGAGGCGGATGAGGTGTTACTTTAAAGCAACCAGACAACCGCGGTGTGCCGACTCCGGTCCCTCGTAAGACAACGCACATAATGTTATCGTCCGAGGGGGACGAGCGAGGACTGGTGCGCGTTAACTATAAAGTGGCTCGTTAAGCGTCTTTCGCGCCGCGAGAAAAATCTCTATGGCTCTTCGCTCGTAAAGCTCGTAATTTTTGCGCGACTAATTGTCGTCTAACTGTGTAATGTCATGCATTTAAAGAGAAGAGTACTAATTTTTAAAGACTCGCTCGTTGTCGCGTTGCTGTT